CGCTCACACCTGCCCAGAAGTGTCAAGCCAGGCACACGGCTTTGCGCTGCCCAGGGCTGGGTCCGCTCCATTGTTTCCCTTCCCCGGAAGCACTGCAGCAAGGCCCCGGGTGCCTCGTGAGCGACACAACCGGCCTTGCTTCAAGACAGCAATGCTCAGTGGGGCAAGCAGGCACCCCGTGGCCGTTCACACACACTCAGGCCATGATGGAGCAGGGCGCCAGCATCACCGGTGGGGCATGGGCTGCCCCAAGGGCATCGCTACGTGCCTTGGTCTCCTCCCATTCAGCCTCCTCTGGCCTTTGTAAGGCTCATTCCCACCCTTGCTGCTCTGCCCCCTCTCCATGGGCGCTGTGCATGCTGGGCTGTTTAAATAGCTGCGGCTGGTACAGAGCATTGTAACCAAACTTCCCAAAGTCTCAGACACTTGCGACATGCAGCGCACAGCCAACCTGTGGAACTCCTTGCCGAAGGATGTGGTGAAGGCCAGGACTTCAACAAGGTTAAAAAAAGAGCTAGATAGATTCCTGGAGCGTGGGTCCATCAGTGGCTGAACCAGGATGGGTGGGGATGGTATCCCTACCCTGTTTGTCAGAAGCTGCGAATGGGCCACTTGACGGTTCCCTGTTCTGATCCTTCCCTTTGGGCGCACCTGGCTTGGCCGCTGTGGGCAGACAGCACACTGGGCCGGATGGACCTTTCGTCTGAGCCAGTCTGGCCGCTCTTACGTTAAAACCCCGGCCCTGCACCCTTGTCCGCAGCCAGATGTGACTCTGTCAGGCCATAGAATAGAAGGTTCCTTGCTTCTCAGAGGAGCAGCGTAGGCTCAATGTTGCCACAGAAGCCGCGGCAGAGCCTTAGTTCTCTTGGGGGGAGGGGTCCACAGGCCCCTGAACCCCCCTGTCTGGACTTAGTCTGCTTCCTTCATGCTTCTCCCAGCCACACAACACTCCTCCCTGGGGGCAGCCACACCACTTCCTTTGTTCAGACTCCCCGGTCCGGTGTGCAGTTGCTAGGCCCGGGCTAGGTGCTGGGCAGCGCACACAGACACGCAGAGGCTACGTCTACACTGGTGTGATTTTCCAGAAATGCTAGTAATGGAAAAGTTTTCCGTTAAAAGCATTTTCGGAAAAGCGCGTCTAGATTGGCAGGACGCTTTTCCGCAAAAGCACTTTTTGGGGAAAAGCGTCTGTGGCCAATCTAGACGCGCTTTTCTGCAAAAAAGCCCCACTCGCCATTTTCGCGATCAGGGCTTTTTTGCGGAAAACAAATCTCTGCTGTCTACACTGGCCCTTTTGTGCAAAAGCTTTTCGGAAAAAGACTTTTGCCAGAATGGGAGCAGCATAGTATTTCTGCAACAGCACTGACAATCTTACATGAGATGGTCGAAATTCAAGCGGCCGGTGTAGACAGCTGGCAAGTTTTTCCAGAAAAGCAGATGATTTTGCGGAAAAACTTGCCAGTCTAGACACAGCCGGGGTCTCCAGACCAGCATAGGCCAGTAGGGGTCGCCCACAGCACAACACGGCAACCCGTGAATGCAAACCCAGCCAGGATCCATGGCCAGCGTGGACAGCCCCCCGCTGGGACCAGTTACAACCTGCTGGCCGGGCCCTGCTCCTTGCTAGCCTCAGGTCTCCCATCTCAGCGCTGAGTGGCTGACGCTACCGGACCCCATGTCCCAGACTCCTCCAGGCTTTGCCTGACCAAGCCCCGTGTCCAGACCGCAGGGTGTTTGGGGGGGCCGTGTCTGCGGGGGAGGCGAGACGAGGCTGCTCGCGCTGTGCCCATGTGGCCCATGCTGGAGGAGGGAAAGGCCCATTATTCCCCCCCTCCGGGTTTTGGGGGCCCCCACATGCTGGGAAACATTGGGGTGTCTGTGCAGCACGGCCAGGTGGAGCAGCAGGCCCTCTGCAGCCAAGTGGCTCTTGTTCACACTCGCTGAAGGTGCAGACGGGCTGTTCGTAGCCCGCGCTCTCCGGGGCCCCTGGAGACAGCTGCCCCCACTAGCACGGCATCGCGCTGCGCTGGTGCGGAACAGTGAGGGGGCAAGGCGTTTCCCCCTTGGCTTCAATCCCTTCTCCAGGTCCCTTCCTCGCTCTGGCCAGCCCCAGTTCTGCGTCTCTTCCTGGCCAAACCAGCCCCAAGGGGTGTGGGACCCCCCAGGAGGTTATCCAGGGGGCGGGAGTTCATCTCTGCCCCTCCTCTCCAGCTCCTCCCCTACCCCCCGGGCCTGGCTTTCCCTTGGGCAGCTGTCATGGGAGCGGCTCTCCCCCAGACCAGTAGGTTGGGTTGGCCAGTGGCTACTGGGTGCAGCTTGGGGTGAAAATGGCTTGGACAAGGCACGCCTGGTAGGTGGCATCTCACGTAAGGCCTGGGGGTGGCTCTCCCTTTCCCCCAGACTGGCAGGAGCTGTCAGGCACCCACCTTGTGCATGACCCAAAGAGGGACCTGCAGTTGCAAAGGGGCTGGGGGGCTGCGGCCGTGGCCAGAGCCAATGGCGCTGCCAGAACTCGCACGATGCTTGTGAACTCTGGGCCACTGATTTCCGCTCCCTGCCCTCTCTGGTACCTGCTGCCCCAGGGTCCCACCTCCTCCCCCCTGGTGGGGGGGGGGGGAAACGGAGGCACGGAGCAGGGCCTGAGCAGCGCTGCCCCTGGAGCCTTGCGTGCCAATCTGGCTGTGCACCATGGCTGTGCCCAGAGAGGGCTGCGGGGAGGAGGCGGACACCACAGGCTGGGAGCTGCAGCAAGAATCAGCCGCTGGATAATATTTCAATTCCTCCCTGGTGGATTTGCAGCTCGCGGCATCAACAAGAACCCAAAGGCACATGACAGTCAGCTGGGCCACGTCCGCCCCCGCCCAGACACACTCGCCTTTATCCCGCGCCCTGGGAGGATTGAGCGGTGCAGGGCCGGGTGGACGGGAGCTCCTGCCTGGCTTGCTGCAGCAGGAAGAGCCCCGGGCTGGGGTGGCCACGCAGTGGGGGGTTTGGGGAGCAAGCAAAGGAATCCAGCTTCCCAGGCGCTGGGCTTGGGAA